TAGATCATGACATCTGGAGTAAAGTGCAGGTGCCCTGAATATTGTTCTATTTATCATAATCTTTGTTGTTTATTTATTTCTATCTATCATGTCTTGTTGCTATGGCTTTGAAAAAGGTTCTTGGATATATGGGATGTTAATCAAATGTCATTAACACTGACAGCCGCCCAGCTTTTTTCAAGATGGCAGCAGCGGAAGTCACAACATCAAAACAAACAGAAATTTATTTCTCTCTCTCTCTTTATTGTTGTGTCCTGCTGCACTCCAATATCGCAGGTCTCACACTGGTCAACATGCTTTTGCACTGCAGCATTATGAAGTTTGTTACTTAGCCAATCAGTAGACATTTCCTGCATGCAACCTGTCGACTGAGAGCAGTACATTGGCAGAATGAATGACCACAGACAAATGTGAATTGATACATCCAATCCCTGTATACTGTAGATAGGATGATACAGACAATGATACAGTGCCTGACACTGTGAAAACCTGCCAGTGAGGCAGTGTCAGGCACATTTCAGTAGAATGAATAATCAACAACTAATATTCAGTGCAACTATCTGAGTCAGCACATACATTTAGATCTACAGTATATCTATATATTCTGATCATAGACTGTATATACTATGGACAACTCCGCTCCGCCTCCCGCCTGTATACGGATTTGAAGCCAAAAAGCTCTCTGTATTTCCAGGATTTTTCTTCATTTCCTGAAACCAGCGCTGCGCAGTAGCGATGTGTGCATTCGGCCCTGCAGTTGCCGAGAGTCGCTGTGATGACGCTTGGCTCAAACAGCGTATCCCCCGGGAGAGCTATGCAATCCCTGAACGCCCATAGGCTGTATCAGGTGTCAATCATAGAAAAGATGAACCCTTTTATAACTTTTGAAAACTGAGCCGTACAGAAAAAAGAAAACTTGAGCAAAAACCAGTCTTATGTAACTACATGTCAACATCGCAAGCAGGGGGGAAAAATTTTATGTTCTGTGTAATAATTTATTAAAGTTTGTCCACAGCCCCAGAAGCTTTCCTGGCGGAGGCGGGATTTATGACCAGTACTGTAGCCCATCAACAGTGGGTGCTGTTCTCGGAGTGGCTTCACCCAGTGAGGAGGCAGACTCTGTCCATTCTTTATACAGTCTATGATTCTGATCCATATCTGATCTGATGAGCGCATTTGGCATGCGTTTGGACACTCAACCTGACCAAATGAACACAGTTGAAACCGTATTGAATTAAATATCCAGTAAACAGTCACACATGATGAAGTTAACAAGATCTTTAATTCATCTCCTCCTTTTTCTCCTTCTTCCTCGTACAGTTAGACCCAGACATGTCTCCGTGTCCTCTCCCCATCCTGCTGCTGCTGCTGCTGTGGCGGCGGTTGACCAGATGATTTATTTCAGTGATCAGATGAGTTATTTACTTTAAAATTTTAACAATAAATTTCATCCAAAATTACCTGTTTATCTAATGTCCTCACATCCTTAAAATTCTGTGAATATTCAATCTAGAGTCAGGCCTACATACGAATATTATAATATTCAGTTTTGTGAGCCAAATTCATTTTATATGCCAACATCTATGAAAGAAAGAGCCAGGCCACGGCGTGCGATGCGTCCTTTGTGCACAGGTTGTTCCAATTTTAATGCCATTATTAGAATTTATGTTGTGATCTGTGCTCACAAGCCACCTTGGTCATGTGGGGTTTGAATATATGCAACTTTATGTGAGTGTATTTATTTTTGGAAAATGGTGTTTGTCTTACCAGTGGGTGCAACCTTACACACACCAAGTCCAACTGTGCTTATATGAGAGAGTGTTGGCGCGGCGTAACTCAAGTCCGCCACGCCTGTGCCATGCGAGCAGGGCACGAAAATTGAGCCCATTGTGTTTGCTTCTCGGGAACTGTCTGGAAAAAAAGGACAAAAACAAAGTTTACCAGTGGATTTTGCCAGGGAAAACAACACTTATGGATTCTTTTTTGGCATATGGTGGACAATAGTTTCACATTTGGTATCTAACAATCTGTACAAAACAGGAAGCAGTCAAACTGGAACTCCTGGAAATACGTAAATGCTTAAATGTTAACTACAGTTCACTGGATGTTAAAGAGATGGCAGCTAAAGTAAAATGTTTTAGACGCAGGCTGAAATAGGCTAATGGTATTTTAATACACTAGAGTGAGAAGCAAGGCTTTTTTGATCTGAAAATTATGTAAAAATATTGAAAAGGCAGCAAAAAGGAAGTATAGAGTCAGAAAAATGCATAATACCTCCTCTTTAACATGCAGTTCTACACATTTCTCATCATGCAACTGAGTTTTCTTTTTTAAAGAGTATTTACCAGCGCCGTGTGTCACAGAATGAGGCTGTCTCTTACCTCCACATCCTGGCTTTAGACCATGCTGGTGTAGTGAAGCAGAATTTATTTGAATAAGTAATCCGAAGTCAACTTTGTTTGGTACATTTCATTGTTGTAAATTGATTTCTAAATCTATAAAATGGTAAGAACTGTTTTAGATGAAAGCTTTTTTTAACCCTTGGTTCCTACTATGACTGTTTTGAGGAAATTCATCATTTTTATTATCATTATTTTGAGTTTATAGTCACAATTTTAAAGAATGAGGGATCAGATTTTCACGTCAATAGTTATTTTCCTTCACATTACAAAATAAACAAAACAAAACAAAAAAATAACTGCTGCCTATAGAACACCATTGACACCAAATAACTATCAGGCTGTATTGGGACAAAGGAAAAAGTGCCCAGAAAGTGAATTTCGTTCCACTTTAGTGGGGCAACATAAACTGTGATTCATAAAACAGCTCTATTGATAGTAAGTTCAAAAAAAATATCTACTCATGCCATCCTGTCCATTTTTAGTATTCAGTGTTTCGGTGTCAAACTATTTCCTTTCTGCGGCATAGTGATACTTGCACACGCGCAATCGAATATGCAAAGGGTGAAGCGATTTTTGTCACGTGGACCAATAGGAGCCGAGTCTCGTTGCCATAAACACACACATGGCGACGAGCACATCTAGCAGCGAGACAAGCAAAGAGGAAGAAAAGAACAGGAAAAAAAGAAAACAGCCTTCAAAGGTGCATCAAAAAGGAACGAAACGATGCTATATGCATCTATCATCTGTCCAGAGTGAAGATGTCCTCGACTTTACAAGGACACGTTGGGAAACTTACAGAACTAGTATTAGAAAGGGACTTTCTCTACAGGGTGAGACAAAAGACCTTGCAGAAACTTATAAACATTGCGTTGATATCGACTTTGACAATGTTCCTGATGACGCTGGGTTTCACATGACATGCTACCAGCGATTTATTTGCATTTTTGCATAGACAATACCGTTCTGGACTTTGGGTTAAAATATCTACTCAGACTTTCTGTCCGACTTTTGTCTCCAGCCAGAAATGTACATATAAGTGAGTAACCCAAAAAACAATTATATGGTGCTGCTGTTTTTGCTTGTAGAAACTGCCATGTTGATTCTGGCAAGACAAAATCTTTTTCAAATGTCATAAATACATCTACCTAACATCTGAAACAGTTATTGTTGCCTTAGTATACTCATAAGTGAATTCAGATTATGAAATGTAGCAAATTTCTTGAAGAAAACGTCTCAACTCAAGTGATTTGCACCCAGCACAATGCAATATATACAGTAAATAGCTAAAAGCTTATGTTTCATACATAACAATGACACAGCCTACTGTGTAATAAAAGCAATAAAATATTAACAGCACATCATGGCCATAAATGGCTGAAAGACTTCCATAAATCCAAACCCCCTCTTCAGCCAGTGAACACCTGTGGAGTGGACATTGAAGTGGTGACATCATATAAATACCTAGGTGTACATCGGGATAATGAGTTGGACTGGTCTAAGAATGTAGACTTCATCTACAGAAAGGAGCAGAGCCGCATCTTTTGCCTGAGAAGACTCTGATCAATAGACATCTGTAATAAGATGCTGCAGATGTTTTATCAGTCTGTGTTCTGTTCTACGCTGCAGTCTGCTGGGGAGGAAGCATCAAACACAAAGATGCAAGACGTCTTGACAAACTGGTGAAAAAGGCTGGCTCTGTGGTTGGACTCATGCTGGACTCAGTGGAGAATGTGGTGGAGAGATCTACACTGAGGAAGGTGGAGACTATTCTAAAGAACATGGATCACCCACTTCACAACACCTTGATGGACCAAAGGGCAAATGGTGGTGGACGGCTACTCTCTCTTCACTGCAGGACAGAAAGATTCAGAAGATCTTTTGTACCAACAGCCATCAGACTTAATAACTCTTGTGTAAATAGTAGATAACTTTTAGAGACATGTTATGTGAGACAACAGACAATTGAATTTCCCTTCAGGGATTGATAAAGTTCTTCCTATCATTATTCTTAGTCTTATTAAAAAGTCCAAGGGACACAAAGACCTTACAGATTGAGTAGCTTATTGTATTGCAAAAGACAGGTTACCAATAAGCACAGTTAAATTTCATTTAAGAGTAACAGGGAACATTTAAGATTGACAAGTGATTTATTTATTTATTTTATATCGTGATATAGATCTTTATCGACTGATGTGAAAAGAAAAAATATTGTGATAAACTTTTTTTCCCATATGGCCCAGCCCTACATTCATATATGATTTGACAGAAGACGAGGCTCGAGAAAAGGAGGTAAAACTGGCGTGTTTTCGCTCGCTCCAGAAGACTCATTTGCACGCATTCTCAATAAATCAAAGGCTCATGACATGGGGCACAATAACTGGAATAGAAAGGGTGTTACACTGAATTATATATAAATTTATTTTTTGTGGTCAGGGTTGAGTTGTTGAAGAGATTTGAGTCAGTGAAAGTAAAAAAAAAAAAGTGGTTCAAATGATTTGTTGTTTTAAACTTATCTGTGTGTCTGATTTGGGGACAAACAAAGAAAGATGGAGTTTAAAATTAAAATAAACCAAGGGTTAAATGCAATGTAATGGAGTCAAAAAATAAGTCAGCCAAAAAATAAATGATTTTAATCCAAAAACAAAATAAATCTGACAATTCAAAAACAATATAGAAAAAATTTGTGGTTACCCGAGAAGAGAAATTATCATTATTAGAAACAGAAACAACTGATCTTGTGAGGAGCTTCATAAAAATCTTGCTTCGGCTTGATTCAAACCTTCCTGAGTGTGATTAAACTATCAGCCTGTAAAGGAGGCTAAAATCCTCAAAGAGCTGCACAGAACTGTGGCATCTATGGCATATTTTCTTGATTTGTGATTGGTCCTTTGAGGGTTTAGAAGCACACTCATTCTCTTACACTGCATAGACAATAGCACAATCAATGTACTGTTCACTCAAGTACAGCAACAGCATGAATGCAGATGCATATCAACTCACAGATGGAGAAAGCAGGGAGATAACAGCTTGCACTGAATGCTGTAATTCACTGGGTTTGTTTTGCAGTATTGTAAAAAGACAATATATCAAAGATCTTCATTACAGGGCACATTCAACCAAGAGAGGGTGATAAAAAGAGAAAACATTACAAACAAGAGCTGAGGATGGGATGGTGGAGTGAAAGAGAAAGAGGGAGGAAAGCAGAGAGGACAGAAGTGAAACAGTGATATGAACTGCCTCTGTCAAAACACGGAAAAACAGTCTCCAAACACACTCACAGACCCCCTTCATATGAGCACATAGATTTTAGAGGTGGGCATCAACACACACACACACACACACACACACACACAGAAAGAGAGAGAGAGAGAGAGAGAGACTCTGGCTTACATTAAACACATACACATGCACACAGATAGAGAGCATTTGGAAGCTTGTATAATTCTCTCTGTGGGTGTCAATTAAATCTCTCAGCTCTGTCAACAGCACACACACAGGCACACACACACACACACACACACACACACACACACACACACACACAAATACACACACTCTCTTTCAACAGCTAGTGCATCGTCAACACCGGCTGGCTTGGCAAGCTAGTGAGAGAGAGAGAGGGAGAGGGAGATGGAGAGAGAGAGAAGAGGTGTTGGAGAGGGAAAGAGAGATAATAGATAGAGAGCTGGTAATATGAGAGCATGAAAGCACTGCAGGTAAGAGGAGGAAACACTGAGCTTGATAAATACACTTACACACAAACATTTAGTCACATGAATCCTCACCCGTGTTCTGTTTCACTGTAAACACTGCTAAGTCATGCACTGGTATAAGCAAAGGAGCTATAGGTGCACACCAACGAATTAATTAATTCATGACAGCATATCATTCATCTGGCATTTTGAGTTAAGGTTGAGCAGCATTTTAAATGTAGTAAAGACATTTAACAGCCGTCTGTTACACAGTCAGTGCACACTGCACAGCTACAATGACAATCAAATGTAACATTTTTATTTATTTATTTATTGAGACATGTTTCGTAATCTTATCATGGTGCAGATCACATCCTATGAATGAAAGGCTAACTGTAAGCATTGAAAGCTGCACTCCAGCACTGCAGCCTGCTGACCAGAGTGATCACGGGCTAAATGTGCTGAGTAGCTCTGATCAGCATTTCGATCTCACATTGACTCTTTCAGTGATGACACACAATCAAACATCAGGGGAGAAAAAAAAAGGAGTACAGTTTTTAAAAAATGCTTTTATTTTTATCACAAATCCCCTCAATGGGTACGGGGCCTATTACAGGCCTTTTACTGTGACAAACACAGATGGTGTGTAACAAGCTTAACATTTTCTGACCACTCTTGATTACTCATGCAGACCAGTTTATTTTAATGTCATATTTAAACTATTTGCCCTCAGATCAGCGAGTGACACTGAGCCTGTCAGACCTCATATGGGTCATAGGCCAAAATATGTCCTGGATGACAGTCCTTGTCCCAGTTTACAAGGACTGCAAAGAATCCAGTAATTGACAGAAGCATTTGTGCCTCCTCTACAGAAGGTGGAATTATGTCCACTTTCAGCTCGATAATATCAAGTTGTCTTACAGGTGACCCATTATGAACCAAAACGTGTGTTGACCAAACACATTGGCATGTGGCTAAAAAGATATACGCCAAACAACAAAAACAGCATCACGTTTACAGGTCTTCGCCTTTAATTTGTAAGATACAAAGGTTTTGTCTTATTCACGACAGAGAAAATCAATCATTATTCAGGTTTGTTACTCAGGTTTGATTTAGTAAGATTTCAGTCAGACTAATGTGTGTTCAAAGTCCAGTTTCAGACCAACTGTAGTAAATCCATTTTTCTGAATATACTGACTGAGGTTGTGGGTTCTACCAGCACACAAAAAAGAGCGGTTTAAGGATATGGGACCTTATTTGGTGGAAAATATTATGGCTTATGTTTGAAAAAGTAAAAGACACAAATGTAAAAAAAAAAAAAGTTACATTCAGAAAGACATGATCCCCTTCAAAGAAAGTCCATCATTACTCTTCATATCACAGCGGAGAGTGAAGGCAATGCCTGTGCGGGGAGTTTCTGTTTGGTCTGGCTATTTTACAAGGTACTCGCATTTTCACATATATTACACCACTAACAAACAAACAAACAAATTGTGTATTACATTTTATCTTATCAGGTCTACTCACAGGTCATTCATTTCAACTCGCACAGGCCTTTCTTGCCCAGTTTCTTTGCATCCCCACAAATGTAACCTGTGAAATGTTTTGCACAGTCATACAAAGCAACCTCTCATCACATTTATAAATGATAAAATACATATTTCCAGCAGAACCGGGTTGATTCAGAAATATGTTCTAGGTTCTATGAGGTATTTTTTCCTTGTATCATCTGCACAAATCAGTACTCTCACACTTGGTTTTATTAATTAGATGCTCTGAATATGAAAGCTAAACAACCAATCGGAGGAACGGAGCTGAAAACCTTTTAATGAGAAACATGCCCTCTCTTCATCAAGCCTCATAAAAGTACAGATATACACCGAACTTGAAAAAAAGGGGGGATGTTGAAACTGATCTTCATCTTGATTTGCTTCTGTCTTCTTGATCGTCGATGGCTCAGATCCATATTCACCCTTATGAGTTGAGAAAATGCCGGTACTGGAGATGTATGTCTACAGAAAAGGCTTACATTATACAATAAATGACCACAAAATCCATAGATTTTTACCAACCTTTGTAAAGATGTTTAATGAAAATAACAAAGCTTGTAATTATATCATAAATAGCAAATGTGTTGCTCTTTCTTTTTATTTTGGATTTCACTGGTAAACTGTGTTCGCACATCAGCTCGGTAAAAGCTTGATTCAAAAACACTGAAATGCATTTACTACTCCTGGTATTTTAGGACTCACAGGCTTGTTTTTACATGACCAACCATCACAGCAGGTGCTGATTCAGTATGCGCTCTGGAAATGAGATAAACACATAGAAGCAGGTGATGAATGCATAAAATATTGTGATGTATCACAGCAGCTGAGGGTAAGCAGGCAGTTCAAAGAAGATTGAATAATATTGAAGTGACTCATTTCTTTTACATTTTGCACTCATGCTCAAAGTGTTTTGTCTTTGAATGAGGGAAGATGATAAGTGAATTTCAGTGGTGCATATCCTCTTGAGACTGGCAGGATTTAGTTCACACACTGGTCTATGACTCATGCACTGGCCATCCTCAAACTAATGCAGAATGCAAAACTAACTGTTTTTGAACAAGCTAGTTAAGAGCCACCCACCGGACATTATTTTGGTGCTGGTTATCTTGTCACATGTTCATATGGGTAGCCATTGGACCAAATCCCCTAAGCCCACTGATACAATTCCGTTTTTTATCTGTAACATTCCTTTGTGCACACACTTCTATGCAAATCAGACAGAAACCTTGAAGAATTAAAGCTCCAGCAGATCAGGGCCAGATCTCACACTGATGAAACCAGGTCAAGAGTCGGGGTTTGGGACCATTTTCCTTCATAGTCCCTCAACAGTCTTAATGAGTTTAACTTTGAAAATCTGAGTCTTTTTTTTTCATGTAGTGCAGTATCACAAGATAACTAGGATCTGCTATTTCACTACGGTCTGGCTTTATGTAATAAACTCCCTTTCTGAACAGACTTGTGACTAAAGCATTGGATAAATGGAGCTAACCATCACTGTTATACCTCAGCTAAAAAAAAGGACATGCCCTAATAGGTCTCAAGACTATCTACAAGTAATCCTTTATTCTCTCAGTTAGACTCACTCTGAACATTAAAAAATATGCACAGCATGTTAACCTGCTTTTATTCTTTATGTTTCTTTGTACCATGGGTTAGAAACCTGTCAGTTAAGAATTGTGTGTTTAGAGGAACATTTTTAGAACTTTGGGGGGTCACATTTCTTGCCACCTTAGAGATGTTTGCATAACATGAAGTCTTTCATAACTTTAGTTATTGGTCCCAACCAAACAAGAACTTCCAGCCTTGAAATAGAAAGCCAATAGTCAGCGCCAAAAATAAAGGCACTGCTGACTTGACTGGCAGGTGAGTATCCTGTAGCCTGTCTTACTTAGTTGACCCAAAGCTAGGGCATTTTTAATATGACAGCTACCACCAGGCTTTCAAATGTCACTTCAGAAACAAATTTGCATTGTCCCTGAGACTAAGTCTATGTTATTTACAGTCTGAGGTTACCTCCAACTTTAAAGAAAGATATCTGGCTCCTAAATTATCAAATGCATCAACACAAATATTAACATAAAATCCAGAATGTAAGTAACACAGATATGACACTGTCAGTGAAAAAAGGTTTATACTATGTTAGAGTGTGATGACTTCCATTATGTTCAGCAATGTGCAGTTTATATCCAGATGTCAGGCTCTTTCTGGTTCCACCTGTTATCTGTACCATGCCAGCTACCAACAGAGTAGAACCACCAACACTACACAATGGTTATTTACTATAACACTGTTTCTTTCTTGTGAGGGAGAAAAGTCTTTTGGGGGGTAAGATACTGAAACTTTCTGTATTATAAAATAGCATTTTGATCTCACTGTGTATTGGCCACAACTAACTTTTTAGATAATCATTAAGGTATTGAAAGTGTGTCTTTGTAAACCAAATTTGACCATGATAGCAAAACCCTTTACTTTTCAAACCAATGAACTACGTGAATCATACCAGGAGTAACATTGAGCTAAAAGAAGGTGTAAAGCTTTGGAAGAAAATCCCTCTAGAGATCATTTGATGAGTTTGTCATCAGGAAGACACCACACATAGTACCTGATAGTCCAGCTTAGACGTTAGATCCACTGAAAGCACATGAGCCATTTCACTGTTTCACAGAGAAAAATATGAGGGAAAAAATATTTGATTTACTGTTGATTTAAAAGCATGCTTCACTTTTTGCATTACTAAGGGACTGTTGTGCACCATGATAGATACGCTGTGTGTCCTGTGTATTAATCTGATACTTGCCATGTCATCACAACAAAACAGACAGCTCTTTTTCCCTGCAGCATGTCACTCTTAGACAATATGCAAAAAGCTATTAGAAATGCAATTTGTAGCTATTTAAAAATTAAACCCAACACACCCCCTGCTAAAGCCAAATCCAAACAAACAGTGTAAGTGCTAAATCTGTGGTGTCAGGAGTCTTTGAGCTGCCTTCAGCACAGTCCACATTAATACCAGAGCTGGCCCGCTACACGTCCTTGAGGGGCCAATTCATTAGTAAGCTGGAAAGCCCAATCAATCACAATGTATCAGGCAAGAAGGAAGGATCATAATTCAGCTCAGGTACAGCAAAGAGAAGAGACAGGAAAAGGAGACGATGAATGGATGGATGGAAAGAAAGGCAAACAAGACAGATTAGCATGCAGGGGAGGGAAAGAGGGATGATTGCAGCTGTAGCCACAGACACTTTAAGGTGCTGCTGCATGAGTTACCTGGTGTTGGAGTCATTAGAGATCAGCTGTCAATCATAAAGTCTGCAGTATACTGTTGACTTACTTAAGACATGGTGGAAGAGGATGTTAGTTTTCCAAAATGAGGCGCAGAGATGTAAATATTTAACAGCACAAAGCACATTTTCATGACCTGAATACAGAGGGGACCCTCGTTGTGTTTGAAGTAACAGCAAAACAGACATTTCTCCTATTATCAGAACTTTTACATTTCATTTGACCTTTACATGAAAAAAATAATAATACGTTTGTCTTAAGAGGACCTGTGTGTTTCATGATAATATATGAGCTATTGATTAGAGAGAGAAGGCGCTCAAAGAAAGCCTCAATGCTCTCTCCTGGGAGGTCTGCAGGAGAAAACACGATCCCTGGTATACACACAAACAAACACATAGACTCCAGGGGCCATCCCAAAAGGTCTGTCTCCTCCACTTGTCTTCAACTGTTCCCTCGCCTTCATTGATCTCTCATAGATCAATGTAATAAAATAGAAACAGGTGTAGCTTTGCGCCTAGAGGATAAAGGCAGCACATTAATCACAGGCCATGCTCGTGTACGAAGCAAAGTCAGCTGCTGCTCAACATGAATTGGTTTAGCTACGATTTTAAAGCTCATCTGTCACATAATAAGGGTTTTAATGACCTTCAAGGCTGCTTTACCGTGATGACTCAAAATGACTGTGATTTAAAGCTTTTGACTTATAAAGCGGCTTAGTACATTAGTCAGCTACTTTGGCAAAGTATCATTTAGAGTCAGGGGTACTTTGCTTAAGTATTTATAGAAAGTTTTACACTGATCCACTTTTTAAGGCAGCGTTTGTCTCAACCACCCAAGACGAAAAATAAAACAAAGCATTTCAGTTGATTTTGTTTTATTTTTCTTTCTAGTCTTGATGAATAAGCCTGTGGTGTAAGATTAGAGCACCAGCTACTCAAAGTACATCCTTTACATGCAATACCAAAGCTCCACCAGTGACAAAAAGGCAAAAACGTATATGCGTCCAGGAGATAATTAACTCACCACTTATTGTTACAACTGAGTTCCCTATAGGCTCATAGAATAATAACAATTGTGAATGAGTTTTCGTAAGTATCACCTGGCTGTGCTGGATACTTGATTCTGATTAGGCCCAAAACTGGGTATTTTTGATGTAAGTCAGCTTATTTGGAAAACACAAATACTTTAAACTCCAGGTTAATAAATGACCAGCCACCAGCCTAAACAAGACAAAAGGCAGATGGCAAAAGTTCAGAAGGAGCTAAAGTAAAACTGACATCAACCAAATTGAAGAAAACAAAACACAAACCATAATACAATTATGCTTTGGCAGTGTTAGGACTGACACAGCCAAAAGAAAGACCAAATGGAAAAGTTGGGCCTGATAGGTGCTGCTCTTAATTTTTGCATCTATTGTGCTAACAGAAAAATATGCATGGATCACAGCTGTTGCTAGGCAGGAACTTGCCCCAGGAACCACAGACCTTTTCAGGAACTGTTCATATTTCAACTGCAGGAACTAGGGTCTAAATGTTTTTCTGGGGTTAAAAAAGAAAAAAACCTACCCCTTGAAAAGCCCCTGCTTAGGGGGTGGTACTTTCTAATGGCCAAGGGACTTTGGGAGGCGGGACCTGATAATTTGTTAATTTACATATAAAATGCTGGTAGCACAGTGACATACACAGAAAATGGAAGAGAGACTCTGAATCATATCCTACAGGGTGTATTTTTGGACATTATAACATATTTTTAGGGGTTAGTCTGATCAAGAAACTGTGCTGTTTACCAAATAAACTGGTTTAAAATGATCATACCGACACAAACTAAGCAGAGAGACAGGTACGCAGGTAGAGGCATTAAGGGCAACAGCTCGATCAAACACAGCTGACCTAAGAAATTGATAAAATAGGATTAATTAAAAATCAGCAGAGATTTGAGTATAAAGAGCTGTGCAAGTATCTTCATATCCAACTACCATCCCTGGATGTCATTGCCTTAATTGGCATTATTTACCATGAACCTCAAATGTTCCACTTGCTTAACAAGACAGGTATATGTTATACATATTTGTGGTAACAGGATGTTATGCAGACCGTTTAGAAAATGTTTATTCCAAGCAGGTTCTATGTCATGAGTTTCTACAGTCAACATGACAAAAATAAGCATACTCTGAGAGAGGTATGAACATTCACATTATATAAATGAATGAAATCAGGATGTGTTTTCAGTGTTTACCTCTTTGATGTGCTGTCGAGCTGCTTAGAAATGCAAAATGGAAGATGGTGGTGAAACAGCTCCAGGAATACATCAGAAAACTCGAAATGAATATGAAATTGCAGGGAAAGACATTCGTTGTAAGTTTGGGGTAAAAATTGTTTGCAAAGCTGTCTAAAGTAATACAGGTTTTAAAATTTGTTGTATTATTTCCTCTATAACAAATTAGATAGCTTTCTTGTATCTTATTCAACTGATGGAAAAAGCAGGTTTACCAAAATGAGCTGGACCTTTTTCACAGCAGACATAATGGACTGACATAAGAAAAACTAGATGTTTCAACTTTGGTGAGTATCTTAGGCTGCTCACAGAAACACTTGATTTTCACCTTTTCCTGCATTGCAACACTAAAACATGTCTACTGTGACAAAGATGAGCGAGATGCCAATCAAACACTTTGCACAAACAGTCTAGATATGAGATTGAATCAGGCAACATCAGTGAAAACACACGTGTGGGTGGACTGTGGGTGTGTAGCAGCTTTGAGGTTAATGTTGACGTGTTATAGGAGGTGAGATTCATACATACTGGCACAGAGTAATGACTAGGAGTAGGAGTGAGCATGCTCGATTTGTGCTGATCAAGATTCAAAGTTAACCTCAAACTTAACCCTGAAATCAGCACAGTGAGGTTAACTTCACAGCCGTTATCACTGTCAGGCTCCGTGTGTGATATATGATACAGCTTTCTATGAGCCACACTGATAATGACCACTATTACCATCAACACAATGATTTGTTGGAGAGCCTCCCACCACAATGACGAAGTATGAGCCATGAGTAACTCTTTATTTCAAGCTACACACCTTCTGCATTAACTGCACAATCATTATCATGCCTGTTGTTGGTTGTTCAGGAGCCTCAACCTCCCCATCACTCTGTTTTTAAGGCAGAATGTGAATTGCACTTTTTTATGATGTGATCATCCCTGGCTTTGTAAAGTGGTGAGAGCACAAAACTCTGCCCTTTTGTTGAGATTGAAGAACTGGCACAGACCTCTGCAGATGAGGCCACTTGTACTGTGTATTGTGATTGAGTTTAAGGACCTGAGACCAAAAGTGTACAAAATATGAAGAAAATCTTACATCCTTTTCTTAGCCATCACACAGCTGCCATGTTGATTGCTGCTTCTGTTTACAAATTAAGTTTCCATCTGCCTCCAGTACACCGCTCAGATGTTTGGGCTCTAAATGAGACTAAAAATACAGTCTAATTTTAAAAAATGGGCAGTTTTGAAGGTGAAAATTTTATGCTAGTTACTGTGGATTAGCTGATAAGCAGGTATCGGCACAATGTGCACAATATTTCTCTATACATTGTACATACATAGCCTCAGTGGGCTAAATTAAATTTAGCTAGACTACCCAATATAAGTGGTCCTGTCTACAGGGATGTCTACCCGAGCTTCTGAGTCAAGCCTGAGGCTGCTCTCTCCATAACGGGCTGCAAATACCGACAAGTACTGACTTCAACTTCAAAACCATCTCCACTACCCTTTAAGCAAATAACTCATGAACACCAACTTCTTAACTCACTATTTTTGAGAAGTTATTATCACCCAAACTAACATCCAGGTTCTGTCCTCAGTAACTCTTTGAGTATAGGTTCTGGACGTTCCCCTAAAGCCTGTTGTTTTCATACTGAAGTCAGGTGACAAAGGACACAGTGCAAATGTCTGACTGGAGTGGAGGTCAAGGCCAATTGATATTTCCTATTAATAAGTAGGTTCCTTTTTAAAGATCTGTAACTAAACATACATAAGTTCTATTTTTCACATTGTGCTGATAAAATCACCATTGTGCACACCATTTAAAACCCAGACCACAAACCGCAATTCAATTTTGGAGGAAACCTTAAAAAACCTGCAACCATTTGGAAAATGAAAGCACACCAAAAATTACCAAATCACTGAATGTTTGTTTGCACATTTTTTTTTTTATTAATTAATTTAAAATGCTGCATGTTCATTACTACTGCAAAGATATAACAGCCCACCTTACTGTGGGCCATAAACTGAGCCACTGTATTTAATAAGGTGGGAGTGAAAGACCTTTTACTTAGAAGGAAATCATGAGAAAACTTGTGTGGAAAAGTTAAAAAAAGTTGCTTTGTAATGCAACTTCTTTTATGAGGCCAAAATGTTGTTAAAATGGGTCCTTCTGACTTAGCAGTGATGATGCATTAAGTACACCTTTATATAGTGTTACTGGCACTGCAAATGCTGGTATTAAAGTCAACACACTAAACATGGACAGATATTAAGCAGAAGTCAATTAACAGTAATGAAAAAAGAGGGTATAAACTTCATGAAACTACAATCTAATAATCGAAATAAAGATGAACATGTTTCTTGATTTTTATTACAAAGGGCAATAGATTAAGCATAAAAGTGTGTATAAGCCCTGCAGACAGGTCATAGTATAATTGAAAACTGACTTTGACTTTGGTTCTTTCAAATATTTTGTGAGAGCAGGAGCCTTTTTTTTTATTTGAAGGTGGATATCACACCTTGGTGAAAATTCATTATCCTTTTAGGACATACTGGTGCAAAAAAAAAAGAAGAAAAAAATCAGCGGGCATATTTGAATGAGAAATGAAATCAATTTAATAACATGGCCCTGAAGGGGCTTTTAAATTCTGCTGGAGTGCTGTCCTTTAATACTGCGCTGCCAGGAAAGCAAAGAATAAGAAGAAGAAAGGACGCCAACATGAACTGACACACTTTGTCTTCTTGTTAAACTATCCAGCCACTCCTGGAAAGTTTGCAAAATGCAACATCCATGCTTTTCCCTTTTCCTAAGACTTTGACCCCTGAGGATGTGGTGGCCTTACAGACAGGTGACAGAGCTGACATTAATCTGCATTTACAAATGTCTCTAAGAGGCATGAGAATAGCAGCCAAAGAGATACAACAGAGCAGCACTGGTGGATTTGTCCACGTTAAATGAGGCAGCTGGTGGGGAGGCGAGGCATTGTTTTCCTCTCATTGGGAATGCATTGAGTAATTCACGGTAACCAGGGAGATGCCATCCCCTTTCATCCCTCCTCAAATGGCCGCCTGGCCACAGAGGATGCCAGAAAAGCTCCGGTACCATTCCTGAGCACATCGCTGGCATTCAACAGACCGCCGCTGCTGCAAATGTGCCCCTACAGCTTAATAATGTGTCATACAGAAAATGACAGCGTAATTAAAGCAAATAACACAGAAGCATAACCAGCGGTGTAAAGTGAGACAATGGTTTCAACATGAACTCTGACTATGTTTGTAAAAATTGCAGCAGTAAGCCAACAAAGGAACCAGCAGTGACTGTTGCACGCTGTTAACCCCCCAAAAAAACTCAGCTCAGCACTGACAGAAAATACTTTTCAAAGGTGGAGAAAAAAGTGCTGGATACTCAGTTTCAAGACATCTGTTTCACAGGAGCTCAACAAAAAATCCTCTTTAATAAACCTAAGCAGGCATTTAACATGATTAGACTTTAAAACTACTCAGCACTTTTAAGAGGTCATGTTTATCAGAAGATGAAGATTTCTTGAATATTTCTGAGAGTTAAAAAAATATATATACATCTGTTAGAAAGACATCAGTGTGCCAAGAAATATCCATTTGACATGCACTGTTAAAACTCTTAGTTTTTGACTGTCCATTAAACCACCAAATGAGGCTAGGTAAAAAACTGCAGACACATTTTTAGCCCACATACCTCTGTTCAGTTACTGTAGATATTGTCCATGAGGCAGTCTTGGAGCTAATACACTGAGAGACATTTGTTTGACCAGAAGAGACAAAATAAAGGTAGTTCCTGTTAATACAGAGAAAAGATTACTCTTCTTTAATTTCACATTTGTCCTTTTTCAAGAGTTACCATAACAATCCCAATGTTAGGTTTGTTTATTTATTTTTTTCTCTGAGATATAATAAATAAAAAAGTGGGATCATCTCATTTTGGGGGTCTTGTCATTTTGTGTCAGTATGTGTTTAAACAGACAGCTCCACATGTCTGTAAAGCGAGCACGCCCCTCATGACTGAGGTCAGATGTGACTCATCACGACGGTGCCAGAGGAATGATAGATGATAGAGACCAAAGCTGCACAGAAGTAGGACAAGTGAACCAGCGGCTGAGGCAGAGGTATGATCCCTGTCTTAGGTAAAAAGGGATTTGGATGCAGCGGCGATATTAAACTGGCTGTCAAACAGCTGAGACATGGTGTCACTAAAGGTCCAAAGAGAGATCACTGTGAAGTAGCAGACCTGCCATCTATCATATAATTAGCATATTTTAACACTGATACCATAAGTGATTCATTTACATACTTGATAGGATTTTATTCCATTAACAACAATGTGTTTGTTTCATTTTTAAATTAAATTAAATTAAACTTTTGCCTTTATGTGGTCCTTAAAAAAATCAGCCATAAAAAGGAGGGTAGTCATTTGTCCTTGGTCATCCCATACTCAATAATCTTTTTCATTTGTAAGACAACTTGGGTAGTGAACCCTGACTTGGGGAGGAGGATTCAGGGGAGGAAACTTGATGTGAAAACTGAATTTTTTGGATAGTTTAAAATTAAAACACCAGAAAAGAGAGAAAGAGTATTATGATTTAGCCTAGGTGTGGTGATATTACATCTCTGATAACTGACTTTTTGACATTTTAACAGTATCATGAGACACTCTGAAGCAAAGAAAGACCAACATAATAAACTGGAGTATAAACTTGAGTATAAGTGATGAAACAAATGGAAAAGTTTGAAGAAAAATGCTCCTCTTATTTCTTTAAGCAGTTCATGAATACCCCAGTGTTACTTCTATTTTCATCATCATCAAAACCCTCTTATGCAGACTCTGAAATGTCCTTCTCTGTTAAATTCACAGACAAAGGGGCAAAGTTTAGACAAAACTTCAAAAAGAATTAATGAAAAGCAGATTTTTATCTGCTGTTTTCATTTTCTTTTTGAACTAACAGCCTTCAAAAATCTGTAATCCTTCTGCAGCAGAGTTACACCATTTTACTCTTTCTGCTGTGTTCTTGGCTCAGAGCGCCCCTTGTGGACATTTCTATAATTCATGCATGTTTTTCTCCTGATCCAGCAGGCTTTTCCAAACACTTTTCACTGCAGGTTCACACAACAGACTTGTTTTTCACCGGAAACCTCATCAGATGAGATGATTTTACGGTTTGGAGTCAGCGCTGATTTGCGTAAGTGTCTGCAGGAGCAGGTGAGATTGAAACAGCAGGGAGGAGACAGAAAAATACAACCATCAGGCTTCTTGTACATTTTTCATCATACCAGCGTCTAGTGAGTTACATTAAAGAAAAATAAACCCTTCCTATGATCTCAAGCTATGCTATTCTAGCCCCTCAAGGACCCCTGAAGCTTCCAGGAACAAACCCTGCCGAGGAGCCAAGTCACTGCAGTGAAACAGGCTGATAGAAAAACCCTTTTCAGCCAATTTGAGTCTTTTATTAAAGTATCCAAATGATTTCTCTGCGCTATAAGAGCACGGCAGGACGGGGAAAAGGAGAGAGAAAAAGACTGGGTAGGGCACAGAGGGAAAGAGTCTGAAAGGGGTGGACATATCAGATTCACCCCCACACACACACACATCCCTTTTTTAGTTCATAACTGCCAAGGGTATTAATTATTAATGAGGACAATTCTCAGGCGTCTGGATGAGTCATACTTTCTGCTACTCGGTTTCCCAAAAGCCCCAATAGGTTGGATTAACACAGAGAAAGGGAAATCTGATTTTTTTAACCCTAAAAATGGAATATATGAATGTTTGATAGGTCCCTAAAAACAGATTGAATGACGATACCTGCTGGAGATCAGTGCATGAGACGCCTAAAAAGATAAAGTCAGAGTGAGTGATGGACGTTTGGACCCAGAGAATGACAGAAAGAAAATGAAACAGTATCTGGATGATATGAACTGATGGAAAAGCAGAATCTAATAATGATACGCCCACGATAACAAACTGTCTGACTTTTACAGAGCACCATAAAGACATCTGACCCATCAAATAAAATGTTATGGTGGTCTTGGATCGGTTTTTTCCTCTATGTTCAGGCCTACCTAACACACATAAATAGAGGTTTAAGTTATTGAGATTCAAAGATTTTCAGATGCCTTCCAAGGAGGTTTGTTTTGTATGTTTTTTTGTTTTTTTTTTTGTATAGAGCAAAAGATTTTGGGAGGTGACTAACGTTCCCAGTCATCATTTCTATATATCACATATATCACACGTAGGTTAACCGTGGTTTGAGAACGTCACACTTTTAATACCACTAATATTTCCTGTTACACTGATCCAACAGTACAAGCTGGGTCAGTCATTTGTGTTGGGTTTGCAATCATGAACAGTAACAGGGTAGCCATGAGATAATGAATTAAAACTAGTTTACATGCTAGGTATGTTAGTTTAGCTGTTTGTAGAGCTGGAGGAGAAAACATAATTAAGTAGCTAGTGAGTACACAGAAACAGACCACACCCAGAGTGTTTTTCACAACACCCAGACTGCTTCTTTGGTCTCTCATTTGCTGGTCTGGCTTAGGCTTATTTTATGACAGTACTGCAGCTCCAGCCAGCCAATAATAAATTAGACATAACTTTCATGTTTCCAGGGTTTTATATATATATATATATATATATATATATATATATATATATATATATATATATATATATATATATACATATATATATATATATGCTGCTAGAATCTCAAAGCGGCCCTTGCCTGATTGTTTTACCTACTGATTTACGTCTGCACCATATTTTTCAGTTTAATTGCATCTTCATTGAGAAGCCTCGCTTTCCTTCATCCTTGTACCTTGGCAGAGGGCATATAAACTTACCACACTCAATATGCGATTGCTGCCTGCTCTAGGAGACATTCAATCCACATACACACAGTCTTCTAGTGATGATTGCACTTTATTGTCACCTACTTGCCTGACATGCCTACATCAGAGTTTTTAACCATTTCTTCCCATGAGTGTGGACAGGAATCTTAGTGAAAATTTAGTCTATATCTGTTGACATCTCAAAGTGTTGCCTGATTTAGCATTTTGGCTCAGTAAAGAACTTTTAGGAGTGTTGGTGGCTCTGTTACTCTGTGACAAGGCCAAAAGAAAAGGGGGTTTCATGGTCTTAAGTGAAACCAGCAGCAGTTTGCATGGCCACTTTCCTCAAACTAAACAGCTAAGCAAACACACATAATGCTTGAAGGGCAGCCAGTGTTTGTACATGAACAAAACAAGAACAACATTCAGTCACTTGAGCTGGAGACTGTCCAAAACATCTCTCTCTAACAACCCAACTTCTTTAGTAAAAAACTTAAAGCAGGGCACAAAGAGATGGGTGATTTCAAAGTAGCAATTGCCTTTTTTTCCCTTTAGAGCCTCCTTCAAATGCTGAGAGGACATTTACCAAAAGAAAGGGGGGGACACAGTGCAAATAGGTGCTGATTTTAATACCTTAATTTTAACATGATTATACAAGAGAAAATTAACCAATATACAGGAGATTTATGACCGATAAAAAATTGTATTTATTATACTTTCCAAGATACATTCTATTCATTTGTAATGTCAATAAACACTCATAGTTTGAACGTAACAATACCTTTTAAAAAAGGACCAGATAGAGTTAGGTTGATAAAAGAATTTCCAAATAGTACCTGCCTTGACAATATAACCTCAAACTAAATAAATTAAATAAAATTATTTGAAGCCATCATGACTGAGCATTTCTACTAATATTGCACGTGATGTTTTATGATATGATTCTGCCCAGGTCTCACAATTTAGAGCTTCAATTAGCAAGCCTGTCTCGCCCCGCAAACACCTCCTCCCCCGTCCCAACAATGCTGGAACCATATCAAGTTTAATGCACATTTATTTTGGTTGCATAATGTTAATAAGAAACCTTTTACAAGATACTGTGGGAGATATAAGAATAAGGAAACTGCTTGAAACTTCACAGACTCTATCAGGCCTCAACTTTGTCGTGCGACACAATAAAAAGAAAACATCACAGATCACATTTCACAACCCTCGTCCTGCGGGTCGAGTTCTTCAGGAAACTGAGAGAAACAAAAAACCCTTAAATGGACTCAGCAGTCACAGCTGGGCACCTGAATAAGTTCTGATGCGTTGTTCTTTCAAGTCCTTTCCACTCTTTGTGTATTATTCCTTTTAAATAATACCAATAATTCTTTAAATAATCCTGCATAGAAAAATAAATTAACTATGTTTGTTAAATTTTTTACTACGAATTGAGAGCTGACAAAGGGAGTTGAATCACCGATCCATTTCTATTAGCGGTTTGTGTGACATTTCTGGCTTGTAGTCTCTTGATGATGATGCTCCGTCGTACAGTATTTATGTGTATACGTGTGTGTGTGTGTGTGTGTGTGTGTGTGTGAGGAGGTGTTTGTCCTTCCTTGTAATTTACAAACCAGTCCCACAGATACAAATAATGTAAGACTTACAAAATATACTCCATGTTACGCTTACATAGCAAGCAGCTTTGTAAATTTTGATATCCTTGGGTTTTTCATTTTTCAGAAACAATGTCCTCTGACCAAGTATGTGCCGTTAAGATTTCACCCAAAACATACAGTTACTGTAAGTAGCAATTTTGAAGAGGAACACAACTCCATTCAGAAGACACTATATTTAACATGGCTCTTTACACAAAGAGAACAAGTCATGAAATCATTCCACAAAAAGAGTTTGCAGTGCCTCTGATTACCATGAATGGGAAGCAAGGGCCTCCCAGCAAAGAGCAGGTGCACTGCTACTGGTGTGTAATCCAGACAAGATGGCAAAGAGTCTGCAATGGAATCCTGAACACATCCCAAAGAACAAACAGGTATCCTCGCATGTTTGAACCAAAAAGAAAGCAAAGTAGCATCCATTGAGTCACCAGCTCATCCCAGATGTAGTGATTCTGGACACTTTCCAAAGCAAAAGAACAACCAACAAATGTGCCCTCCTTTTTCCTTTTTTTCTCTTTTTCTAAAAGGGGGCTGAAGATGGGCGGGTAAACTCTCAAGCACAGTCTTCAAGACCCTTGATTTGGTTGAACATAAACAAAAAAAAAAAAAGAACAACAAGAACAAGGAAAAATAAGAGGATAAGTACCAATTTCAATAGCAGCGGAAACACTGTGACTGTCTGGTTGCTTTTTAGGGTGCCCTATGGTATGTATGTGGGATTCATACGTGTGGCATGAATAATCCAAAAGGGTCTTTTACTGTGAAATAGATCCACGCTGATTCTAGTTATAGCATTTGTTCTGTGGAGCCATTTTGTCCATCTCTGCATTGGTCATTAAGGGTTTCCAGAAGGCACTTTTTTTGCAGTGTGTGGGAGTGTGTGTGTGTGTGTGTGTGTGTGTGTGTGCGTGTGTGTGTGTGTGTGTGTGTGTGTGTGTGTGTGTGTGTGTGTGTGTGTGTGTGTGTGTGTGTGTGTGTGTAGCTGCAGAGAGAGATGAAGACAGAAAAGCAAGAGAGTGCAGAATGGTGGCCAGAATAAAAAGAAAGGAAAAGAAAGAAAGGAAAGGTGGTGGATGAGTGTGTCTGTTTGTCTGCCTGTAAGTGTGTCTGGCTTCCTTGCGTATGTGCGGTGAAATCAATGCACTAATCGAACACAAGGATCCCTACATTTTACTGAGTGCAGTCTGCTCCTCAAGCACCTGCAGGTAATCAGGTGTTCCTTGGAGCTTTGCTTTGAGCTCATAATACTCACTTTTTCTCTGCTCCACCACGATCTTACTGTGGTTCCCACCTATCAGCGATGACTTCTTCATCTTTTTATCCAGAGTTTTCTCCGGGTAGCGGATCTCATATCCACCCATCCCTATACTGTTGAAATCTCTTTTGCTGTCCAGGAAGTTCTGGATGAACATGCTGGGCTCCCGATGAGGAAGGAACTCCTCCAGTTCATCGATGGTGCTGAGACGCTTGTTGCGCTCCAGGGTGGAAAGCGAGTCTTTATCCTTGTCAGCGCTGTTCCGGAGGATAATCTTCTGCCTCTGTGAGTCTGCAAACTTGAACCCAGCGTCCATGTCTGAGGAGCGGCCGATCCCACAGGTGTGGCTCTTACCAATGTGCTCAATGGTCTGGGGAATGAACGTCTCACCTCCCAGGTCGTCTCCTGGGATGGAGCTTTTTTTGCCAGATTTGTGTCCGTGTCTGCGGAGCTGCAGAGACATGGAGCCGCACTCCTGATTGCCCAGCCCCTCTTGCCTGCCCACTGGTTTTTTATTCCTCCTCAAGACAAAGACTAGAAGGCAAAAGGCCACAAACACAGTGAGGATGAGCACGACAAGAATGCTGAGGATCATGATAGAAAGAGGCACAGGCCCTCCTGGTGGTGCTTTCCCAACTCCAGCAGGTGACACTGAGGTTAACACAGGGGTGGGGCTAGTCTGAACAAATGGCGGTCTTGCAACCAGTTTGGGACACAGGATCTCATTTTTCAAGTGGCGCAGCTCGATGTTGGAGAACTGCACAGGGGATGCACATTTCACCTCTTTGGCAGCCACTCCATCACTTAACTTCTCTAGCCAGAGTTTGAGGGCAACAAGATCGCAGGAACACTCCCACGGGTTCCCTTCCAGGTCTATTTGGGTCAATGACCGCAGCTGGTCCAGGACACCGCTCACCGGCAGGGTCATGAAGTGATTGTTTTTCAGATTCAGTCTTGCTAAGGAGACACCAGCAAACACATAGGCAGGGAGACTCCGCAGAACATTGTTGTTGAGATACAGAAGTTGAAGGTTTGGCATGGAGTCAAATGTGCCCGCAAGGATTTCTTTGATGGCATTGTATTCCAAATATAGGTACTGCAGATTTGTGAGGCCCAAAAACATCTCTGGGTGAAGCTGCTCCAGCTGGTTTCCGTTCAAATACAGTCTCCTCAGGTTAGTGAGGTTGGAAAACACGCCTTTCTGGACTGTTACGATTTGATTGCTCCCAAGATGCAGCAAATCTAAACCCTCGAACCCTTGGAAATCAGTCGGGCTAATGTCACGGATGTAATTCCCACTCAGGTGAAGTTTCTTGGCATTTGGAGGTTTGGGAATTAGATCAGCTAAATTTTTGATGTTCCTCTCTTGACAACTGACACTAATGCCAAAGTCAGAGGGGTGGGCTTTACAGCTGCAGGGCTGTGGGCACAACAACGGAGGGGTCCGTGTCTGAAAAGAAACAATCTGACTATTTCTTCCAAAGGGGGGCAGACCAGCCACGATACCGTTACCATAAATCTTTGATGAGTCAGTGGTTTTTGGCGCTTTTGTGGCTAAAGGAGCCACAGTGGTGGGGGACGTTTTGGAGGGTGACTGTCCGTTATCAGGCAATACGGGTGGCATCCGTACGTCAAAGTCACTCCCTGTTCCCATTGGACAAAGCTCCTGTTTGTTGGTTTCTTTTAGGAGTCTCCCGTACAAGTCACTTGGGGTTTCACATATAGCCTCACCAATAAAAATGTTATACGGCATGTTTTCAAGCCATGCCTTCAGAGGCGCTAAATCACAGGTACAGTTCCAGGGGTTGTCGTCCAGCTGCAACTCTACGATGCGCCCAATATGCTCCAGAACTCCCAAATAGGGCAGCTTCTGGATCCTGTTCCCCCTTATGTCCAGGTGTGTGAGAGAAGCAAAGCGAAATATGTTGTCAGGGAGAGCCTGTATGAGGTTATCGTTCAGGATAAGCACTTTCAGTTTGTGCAGTTTGTTAAATGCTCCCTTTTCAATGTATTTGATCAAGTTGTAGTCAGCCTGGAGATATTCCAAGTTTTCTATCCCCAGGAAAGTGTCTGCTCGCAGCACCTTCAGCTCATTATTGTTCAGGTGCAGCTGTTTCAGAGCACTCATCCCCATGAACGCTCCACCTTCGATGTTCTGCAGTTTATTGTTTCCTAGCTGCAATGACACAGCGTGGGTGAAGTTGAGGAACGAGTTAGGGTAGAGGATTATTAAGAAGTTGTTCTGAAAGTTCAGGTGGTAGAGCGATGAGGCCGGCGGGATGAGCTGCGTGGGCCGATAGACGGTGATCTTCTCACAGTTGACATACAGCACGTTTTCCACAGACATGCAGGAGCAGGCGCTGCAGGTCTCGGCCATCAAGTCTGAAGCTGACGGGTCTACCATCTGGGGTCCGTCCGACATGGAGGGGGAGGAGAGGGAGGAGGAGAGGGAGCCCAAGATGGAAGAGGAAAAGGCTGCCAGCAGGAATACGAGCAGCATCTCGCCGTTTAGAAATCCTCCCCCAGAAAACCATTTAGTAACCTTTGGAGAGAAAAAAGTTGCATGCACAAACATTCACACACACACAGGCAGACACATGTGCAAACAAACCCAGACACAGAAACACAAAGACACACACGCACACACACAGAAAACAAAACATCAAAATGTGTCTTCAATATTGATTTCACTCTAAATCTAACATCTGATTCTGACTTATAATAAATTACTAAAACCCAGAGGAGTATTATTCCTCACCTTAGCTGTAGATGTAAGAATTGTGATATTTCCCTGCTTTTATGCACATTACTTATCAGTCATCATTTCAATAGAGTCTGTGTGTACCACTCTGACATAAAAACAGTGACTAAATCTCCTCATTTAGCGAACACAAATAATTAACGCAGATTTCATGATTAAAAGTACTGTCTGTCCAAAAAAAAAAAAAAAAAAAAAACCCAAACGGCTGCACATCTCTGCATCTTCTTCTGACATCTGAGCATGCACGAAGCCTCATGTTAGAAAATGTCTGAGACAGTGGAGCAACTCTGTTGTTCCCATTTCTGCATATTTAACATAATCGAACAGCTCCAGCTCTCTTTTTTTTTCAGTTGAAGCTCGGAGCTGCATCAAGGCTGAGCTGCACACTCAGGTTATTTAGAAAAAGCAACTGTGAGAACAAGGGGAAGGAGAAGAAGACTTGGGACTGAGCCCACCTCTGACATATTGGAAGGGTTTGAGCTGCGGGCTTTTTAACACAAAACCTTTTTTTTTTTTTTTGTAAAACACACTAAATACATGAACAAAGAGGCGTTCCTTAAATCTAGATTTTTTAAAAGAATCATCAACTGGCATTTTAAAAAGAAAACGATGAATGACAGAACCTAAATTAATTAAGACTTACCCAAAGCTGAGGGTGTGATGAATGCGGCTCCCTCCGGAGACGCGGGGCAGCGTTGGTGAGACATGGATGGAGACGTGTGCAAACAGTCCTCCCAGCTGAAGTCAAACGTAGACAGTTAGAGGGGCGCAACAAGGTTCCTCCAGCCCCTATATCTTCACGCAGGCTACTGTATATCAGCCTGAGCCAGGCAAACCGGAAGGGGGGTGCAGTGGAGATGGAGAGAAAGGAGAGGGGTGGGTGGGAGGGGAGGGGGGGAGCTCCGATTTCACCCGATGCGTCTTTTACTGACGGGCTCCTCTTGCTTGGAAAAATCACCCCTCTGGTCGTTCGGTCCCCAAGGTGGTTGTACTACCTCCATGGGAGATCATTCATTTGGTTGTAGGAGAAAGATACTTGAAAGAGAGAGAGAGAGAGAGAGAGAGATCGAGAGAGAGAGAGAGAGAAAGGGAGAGGCAGACAGCTTTTAGAGATCTTGACTGCGCGCCCGGCGACTCCAAGGCGTGAAAACAGGCGCAAGGTGGTCAGTGATGCGGTGAAAGAAGTCCGTCATTTTTTTTTTTGGCGTTGTTGTGGCTGCACTCTAGAGAAAGACTCTGAGCAGAGGAGAGCATAAAAAAGGAGGAGGGGGAGAGAGGATGGCCAACACTGTGCGTCTGGCTTCAGCTCGGCTCAGCAACCCCCAACCATCCAATGAATAAATGCTGGTTTGTTTCGGGCGAAGTTGCGCACCGGGATAATGCTTCAGATGGCGGCAGCAGCCAAAAAGCTCCCATCAGGTTATGCATTCAGTTTTTTTCCATCGAGGAGGCAAGAATTCAGTCCCAGAACAGTTATTTTTAAGCAGTCAGTGCATCTAAACGAAGCATAGATGTCTAATTCAGTGTCCATCCAACGGAGTTATTAAAATACAGATGAAAAAGAAGGGCTTTGGTGATATGAAGCCTCTTTCCTGGATCACCATAAATCGGAAAAGTACACTGATAGGTGACAGAGACAAGTCAGGAAAATAGAAACCGGTGCGTAAAAATGAATAATGCAGTTATTCAGCCTTTAGTCCGCTGCGGTGCAAGTAAGGTGCCGCTTGAAACTCCGCGCTTTCTCCTGCTCCCATCGGTCCACAAAAGATGCAATCAGGATAAACTTGGAGAGAGGAAACGTGGATTTTTCTAAAGCCAAAAAAATATCCAACTGGAGAAAAAAGGAGAGAGTTTGAGGAGGTGAAGATGGGTTGTTTTCCCTCTTGTAAAGACAGAGCAGTATCCGTGTCAGACGCATAAGTATGCTGGCTCCTTCTGCAGCCGCATTCACTGAGCTTCCCACACGACTAAAAGAGGCGAATGCAGAGATGTAGAGAGAGTGGGGAGGGAGAGGAAGGAGGGAGGGAGGGAGTTGAGAGAAGAGAAAGAGAGAGAGAGGGGGGGGGGGGGGGGTGTTCACACAGACCAAAAAAGGAAAATAAAACACTCCAGACCTTGAAACAGATCCGATTTTACTCTGTTTGAACATTATTGGCTTTTAATTATTCTGTGTTTTTAATCACCATTCCGGGACAGAGAGGCTCACCTGTTTTATTTTATTCCGTCTTTGAAACCTCCGAGGGGATGGAGATGAAAAGCGGATAAAAAGAAGGGAGGGGAATGTATGTGTGTTTGCCGGTGGTAAAAAAGCGCTTTACCTGCCAAATCGTCGCATTGGACTTGACTTGCGCGACGCGACCCGAGCGCGTCCCCGAGGTCCGATTGGAGAGATGTAGGAAAGGGAGCGACAGAGGGTGCGTGTGTGCTTAAAATCGGGCACGGGAACGCGCCTGTGAGCGGCATTTTAAATAGAGAAGAGAGAGGGAGAGAAGAGGAATGGAGGAGGAGGAGAGGGGGATATTATTCAAGAGTGCTGCAGTCAGACGGGCTGCAAGAGGGAGAAGGGGAGAAGGAGGTGGGAGATCAGTCAATCAGAGGGTTATGCAGTTCACATTTTTCTCTTTTTCTGTGTGTGTTTGCAGGAGGCAGAGGATCGGATTGGACGGTATCGGATCCGAGAGGAGAGGAGAGATGGATGGAGCACTTCTAGAGGGGAGAAAGAAGAGGAGCGCCTTAAGGTAGAGCTATAACCCTGCTGTTTGCTTGATTTATTTCCTAAATTGTAAATTAGGTCTGTAAAGTCACTGGCAAGGACTTGTTTTCTATCTATCTATCTATCTATCTATCTATCTATCTATCTATCTATCTATCTATCTATCTATCTATCTATCTAGTTGATTTATTTATGGGAGGTGACTCTGGGCTGAGTGAAGTAGCAGCATGGCTCTGGTCCATAACACTGATACCCATGGGAGAAAAGGGAGTCGGACCTGAAACCTGACAGTGTCAGCGGGCTCACCGGAAGCCTCACCTCTGGTTTACTCTTGCAACAGGTGCCTGAGCCAAGTGACGCACACGTAGCACAGGCTGGAGAAAGGGAAGACGGGAAGTATGGATTTCACAGCATGGGTGTGTATGCAGCATTGACTGAGGAGCTGAGACGTCTCTCATCAAACTGAAAGTTTCTTCAGCACATGGCAGGAAAACCTGTGTGCAGGTGGGACAAAACGCGGCATCCTTTACTAACTGATGATGACTTTTGCAACAGTTTTTATATTGAATTTTTAAAGTCGGCATTTCGTTCTTTTTCCTGTGCTCCAGCGATTTGGAAAGGCATAATATAGATTATATTCACATCACAGCAGTGAACCTTTTATTCATTGATGTTCACAGAGTAATTTTCCTGATATTCATCTCAGGTTGATGAAAATGAGGTCAGAAACAAGAGTCTCCATCTTAGACTTTAATTTCCGAGTGATTACTTAATGCATTTGTGTCTTTAATAGTATTATTGTTAATTAATAAAGTATGGTATACCACTGTGTATCAGGTGTTATGCAATTACACAGTGGCAGCACCAAAACCTGAGGATCTAGAGATAGTTTTATAATTCTTAATATACTTTATATCAAGGCGAGTGCTGAGCAGAGTCCCCTTCAAACAATAAAGCGGGTTGTATACATATATAGCACAGGTGTTATCAAATATGTGGCATATCGTTGAACTCATCATTGCATAAAAATACTGAGCTGACATAAAAATGCAACATGTGGTATTCAAAATACAGAATAAGAAAAATGAAATGATGAGGCATTAAAATAAAATTAAACTCCATAACCTGACAGTACCAAAGTGGTTCCACTCCAGGGGGTGAGTTAGTGCCAGATATGATCTTCAGCAGCACCGCGTTTGGACAGTATCAGGCAGTAACTGTCAACTTCATATTTGGGACATATATGTTCAAATATGAGGGCAGGAATATCTCCTGATTCAGGGGTATTTTACACAGTGTGTCATGTTTCTGTTGAGATGTACAAACTGGTCCAAACAAAGAGAAAATAGTTACTTTTCTTCGAGACGTTGTGAAATTAGACCCACTCTGTATGATTTTGTGACACCTTAAAGAAGCTGACAGTAAGCAGGGAGAGAATGGACTTCAAACTTGAGGTAAAGGAAAAGCTAACAATTTGCATCCTGCTGTTAAAAAATGTCATTCATCTTCGCAGTATCATACTCATGATCTTTTCCAGTGTTAGAACATCAATCAAAGACATGATGCTGTCTTTTCCTGTTGGGTCGCATCATTCAACATAACTGCACCGTTTCCTCACAGCTCTTACATTAAAAGCTGCTATTTATGCTTTGAAATATGCACAAGAGATTAATGTGTAATCTGTGGCTGCGTTCACTTTTGACTGATGTGACAGAAAGTAAAGACAGTGAATTGCGCTGTTTGAATGGTGAATTGTTAACATGTCTCTGATGCTTCTACACTCGTCTTACTTTGACACAGTCCCCTCCTCTCTTACTATATAAAATCAGCTGTTCATTTAGAGCCCTTCAAGCTGTAAGTTATCATGTTTTGATGGAACATTCACAGTCTCAATTATTCCTCGTCCAGCCTCCTTCACATACAATTTATCCTGATTTTGAGGAAAGTGCCCGCTCACTCCAGGGATTGAACTGCAGTAATGTATGCAAACATGCAGGGTGGGGTTGACTTGTGACAGGATGCTTCACGAATGACCATGCCACCTGCACAAAAAGAGCAAACAGGAACTCCTCCTTAGTGTGTGTGGATTAAAACATGGCCTTAAGCGTGTGTGTGCTGATATTTGACAGTGTTGGACATGTTCCTGCTCTGGCTGTGAGTGGCCTGAGGGAAGCAGGCCTACTAGAGAACGAGCCAGACAGTTGGCAAGGCCTCTGCTTCCGTCTCAGCTGTCGTTGGTAGTCTGGCCATGTGGCTGAGACTCTGCTTCCTGTGTCCAAACACTGGAAAAAGCTTGCATCTTGAGCACTCTAATCCTATTTGTTGGATTAAAATGAAGCATTTTAATATGTGTTTAAAGGGATTCAGTGTCACACCCCTTATTTGCTTTTTGTTTTGTCTCTTTTGTCCCACTGAATGTGCTGGGAGACTGTCGTGCTGAGGTTGTATTGTTTGATATGTCACCCCCTTCTGGACAGAAAAGTAACTGCACTGCACACATAAAACAGGCCCATGGTGCTGACAGGAGAGGCCTGCTTACTCTGTATCTCTGTTTTTTGTTAAGTTTCCGGAAATTTCTTTTAGTAAGGTGTAAGGTTTATATATAGTGTTTCTAACCTTTAACTTTCGTTATGTTTTGGTGACTTATTGCAATTTGTTGCAACTTAATCTTGCCCCCTCATATTTTGGAAATATATCTGTAGTTATTCATAGTAAGATGCAACCACATGCACAGATTGATAATTGGTTGCATATGTGTACAAGTTTATATCTTGGATGCAGATACCTGTACATATTCATTATTAAATGCACTTTTCTATACATATTGTTGTTTTTGTGTCTGGATGCACATTTCTCTACATGTTCTCTCCAGGTGCACACACTTGATGGAGAAACTGTGAGGCCAACATTTTCACCCTGGGGATAAATAACATATTTCTGAAACATAAACAGTCTTTTATTTCCATTTGCACTCATATAACAAATCTTTATATTTCAACAAAGCCACTTTTTTAATCTTCCAGTACACAATATACATTACATCACAGCTCCTCCTCTCTCCCTGTACCTCATGAAAACCTGATCTGGATTGTGTTCAGTGTCTCACAGTTTCCACCACAAACTGAAATAATAAAAAAATAAATCTTTTTTGTACAAATTCTCAAAGTCTTTAACCCTCACATACTGTTCGGGTCAAATTTGACCCATTTTGACTTTCTTTTAACAGCAGTAAAAATACCCTTAACGTCATTCTTTAAGCCTGAAACTTGATGACTTTTCCTGAAATAACCCAAAATACATGAAATTAATTTAAAAATATTATTATTGATTAGGAGGGAGGCGGTGGAAGTCGTAACATTATGAGAGTAGAGAGAGCGGCCATTTCACTGGCAAACACATGTGCAAGCTCCACACATGTAAAGTGTCCTACCTTTGCTTTGAATTCAGAGACTAGCAGTGAGGACAGTGACAAACAGTGAGAACAGAGTTCAATATGAAGTTTGTTGTTCATAAAAGTATATTCAAATCATTATGACTTTTATATTTTTATGTCTTACATAATATTAGATGACATTATATTTACGACGTTGACGTTTATACTGATTTTATACTTTTTTCTCCTTTTTCTCTATTCTATTTTAATTTTTGCTCAGCTGATGCTTTTCATTTGCCCCTAGGTAATGAATAAAGCAATATTGAATTGAATTGAATTAAATTATCCTATGTAATAGATGTTCTTCTCCAAAATATATATATTTCACCAAAGTACAGGATTTGAACAGTATGTGAGGGTTAAATTTCTTCCTTTTCTGATTTTTTTTCCATATATTATTCATGCTGTTTTGAAATCAACAAGGTTAAGAAATTGTAAGTTTGGAACTTGAGGAGTAATGATTTTATCTTTGGCAAGAGCTGAAATATATCTGAACAGCTCAAAGTGGAGAGGGGAAAAAGTTTGGTCCCAACACTGACCCCTAAGGAACGCTACAGTTGTCTGGTAATGGTTTAAAAAAAAAGGGGGGGGGGGGGGGGGGAGAAAAACATAAAAAAACAACATAAAAAAAAACTAAAAAAAAAACTACAGATATATTCTAGCACATGTAAGTAGACTATGGTTTGTAAAATTCTGCGAACATTCAGGAACAAACAACCAGTGAGTGGACTGGACTTTCAAGTAGAGCGCTAATTCACCTAATCCTGCTGACTTCAGGCTCACCACTTCAAACCACAAGTGCTTACAAAGAATCATTTAAAGAGTAATCCTCAGTCAAGATGGGGAACATTCATTTTAATCAGTACTGAAACCATTATTGAGACTCCTTAATGATCCAAGTCCTTATCAATATCTCTACAAAGTCTTTTCTATCATTGTTTACTTCAAACTAGTGATATAGTGGTATTTTCATCTGGCAGAGCCCGGCACACAGTCAGTTTGGTATTTTCATAGATTGAGTTGCACCGAGGTCCGCCAAGCTAGGGGAGGTGGTGACAGAATCAGCTGGCATGGTGGCATTTTCTTGCTCGCTGGTGGCGTAGAAAGTGCGCTGAAAGCTCGCCGATTCAAACCTGGTCAGCTTTCAGCCCAGGCGAAGCGCAGCTGGTGTAATGGTATTTTGGTAGACTGGCGGCATAGTGTGCATAGGTCACCGATGCCTCACTAACAGGTTTCCACAGTGTCAGGCACATTTCAGTGCAATAAATAATCAACAACAACCAATATTCTGCGTCAGCACATACATTTAGATCTATATCGATTTATTCTGATCTATATCTGATCTGTTGAGCACATTTGGCATGCGTTTAGACACTCAACCTGACCGAATTAACACAGCTAAAACCGCATTAGATTAAATATCCAGTAAACAGTTAATTCGTCTTCCCCCCTATTTCTTTCTTTCTCTTCCTC